AGCTTTGTAAGGTTTACATTCTATGATGGGTCCCCTTTCTCAATTTTGTAGAGGCTAAACATGACCTGATACTTGATTTGCGGTTACAAAGTTCGAGCCCCCGGGTAACCCATGGATAGCCAGCAGGGGGATCATAACAATGGGTTGACAATGGATTATCCATTGATAGCCAACAGCCTTATTCGAGACTCATGGCTAAGAACGATTGGTTCATTTTTTCTTAACTTCATCTCTCAGTCAAGAACCACCAGTCTGGACTGTCACCTGCGGCTCCTTCGGAGCCAAGGCCATCAAGGCCAGTTGTATCACCAACAGAAACGAAAAGAACAGCATTGATTGAGCACATGAATTATATTGAATTATTACCGAAAGGTGCACTGATTGATTCGCCCAACACAGCTTGCCACCAATCACAATAGGCCCTTGTACATACATTACATCAATGGGAATTTCAGGATCCTAAAGTAGAGGTGCTGTAGCAGATAAGGCCATATTTTGTAGGGATATTCCCTTACATAGGGCCTCCAATTTAAGGTTATATATGGTAAGTACCTCCAATTTAAGTTCCTGTTGCATGGCCATTGATTACATAGACATATTACATGCCAGTCTCCATGGCTGGTTGCAAAATCCTCCAACCAATGAGTCACAGAGATGTGAAACCCTGAAACCCACACAGACACCCCTGTGATTTTACCCACGAACTTCAATCGTAGATAGTAGATTCATTGGCAAACCACTGGGTAATATCAACATGATAATAGTAGCACTATATATAAAATAGTAAATGTATGTCTATGATACCAATATACTGATAATAATGATTCATGCAATGCATCAAGGTATATCAAAGTGCCTAAACAGTTGGGTTTGAACCTTTGATCACAACTACAGACCCCTTTAGTCGCGCTGAAAGCGTCGCGCCACGCGATTTTATCGCCGCGCGCGAAGTCATGCGAGGAGGCGTCTTTCGGGAATGCAGGGGCCTCTCGTTGATTCTGGTAGATCCAGTAGGGGAAACCCCAAAGTAGGGATTGAATCATCAATTTTTCGAGGGCTGATCATGGATTTTTCACCAACACATGGAGATTTTACAGATTGAAAGTGGATTTGGGTTTGCCCAAACACCGGACGCCCTCAGATAATGATTTAATTCAGAGCAGCATCATCGACCATGTGATTCTGTACCCAATGTTTTGTGACAGTCCAGAAAATGACGTGCATCCCACCATGTAAACATGTAATGCAAGGCATTGCTTTGACTGCGGAAGGTCCATCTAAAGTAGTTGCATTCCGTGCATTTGGGGCAGCTATATTCTGATAGGGGTGTGTCAGTGGGGCGCCTTGAATTCCATCAGATTGTCACTGTTTTCCCTGTTGAATTGCCCGGGATATACAAAAAAATCTCCGACGCATCCTGCTATTTTGATTGGGCGGATCCCAGCCTAATGGGAAGCGTCATGACTTGGGGTGACGATGATGAGTCAAACCGTTCCCAGCAGTCGGGATGAGAACTATCACATTGATTGCTCTTCCAAAGATCCCTAGTTGGGATGGTGTAAAACAAAACACATTTAAAGGTATGGAATTTGTATGTAGTCATGGATATGTGTAAAATTGTGTAAACACACATGTGTAGATTCTCCATAAGCCCCAAGTGAAGACAAAATGGCTCAACAATCTCGCCCTTTGATCAGGTGCCTAAAGTGACGACTTCCCATCGTTCTCATGGAGAGGCGATACTATGGGCTATGGCTCAAAGATATAGGGGAGTTCTACCAAGACGTGGTAAACCATGGTAAACCCAATGCCATCAACAAGAAAATTTGGGACAATCAGGATGATTTTGAGATAATTTCATGATGATTATGGTTAATCAATGTTAATTAATGTTAATTATAGGATAATTCTGAGGTAGAATAGCATAGTCACCATCCCCAAGGTGTTTTTTTTGTGCAGCCCTGTAACCCCTTGGGGATTTGCTGCAGATCTGCACATTTTTCCCAGAAATCCACGACTGAATCTGAATGTTGGGATGACCTGGATGCACCATAACTTCACCAGGCTTTTCTCGCATGATTTTTGCACAGTTTCAGCGAAAAATCAACATGTGGGTTCCAGGGTCAAAAGATGTCAAAAGCCTGGTACATCTGGTACCATCTGGTAGCCTATAGCTGCTATAGCTGGTGAATCAATGGATGATAATTCTCCAAAATATGGTCATTTCATAGGTCACTTGACCCATCATGTGGGGATACCCAATCTCGGGAGGCGGCCGAGGGCGCTCAACAACTACGACCGGCCCTTACAGAAGACCAGGCTGACGTTTTTTGCCCCAAGAAATACGCAGATTTGGAAGAACGTACGGAAACATATACCGGAAAAAAACAATAGAATAAGTATTTTAGTTCAAGTGATTTTCGCGCCGATTTCGGCATGAAAAGATGACATTCCAAAAAGGGCGATATCTCCAAATATCCAGTACCTTCGAAAGCGTGCGCATTGGCGCGCATTGGCTCCACTTTGGGTCCCTTCTTGGGCTGTTGAATATTTGGAAGTAGTTCGAACAGCCTGGACATTGGAAAGTAGCTGGGTATGGCTCAAGATCAGCTTGGATTTTCCCTTTTACTTTGGGTCTCTTTGTACGAACATGGCCAAATGTGAAATGACAAGCGGTAATTGCCCAATTTTTTGAGCCATATCCGAATCTGAAATTTGCCAATTGATAATTAGAGGGTTCTCCCGTTGTCACGGAAGGCTTGGTTTGACACACATATTTGAACTTGAATGGGTATTTAGACAAAGGAAACCACATGCCAGCTCAAGTGCTGCATTTGCCCGAGGTTTCCGCATTCTTAGTAAAGATGTGGGTATGTCCATTGATTGGACACTGAAATTTCCTTATTGAATTGTTTTTGGTTCGACCATGCATAGGTTTGAGGATATCATTTTTGGCCACACCCACATCCATGTGCATCCAACATTCATGCGGTTATGAGCATGAGATACACATCCTCGTGATTCCTGTCACATCGGGTATAATGAACCGGAATTGACTATATCAGACTATATCTATTGGGGATGGTTTGAAACCACACCGACCAGCTGGTTTTGACCCAAAAAAAGCTACCGACCACTCTCCCCATTTTTTGCATGAAGTTACTGCACTATATCGCTAGCAATCCTAGATTTGTGAGGGAATCTTTGGCCCCAGCAGGAACGAAGTGAGTTTGAGCATCTTTGCATTTCTCTTCGCAGAGGTGGTGGAGCATCTTGACTTCGAAAAAACCTGTCCAGTTGAGGTTGGAAAACGTTGAATTCGCATCACGAAACGAAAAAAGGAGTTGTACCTAGTGATTACCACCTTGTGGCCTTTGAAGGAGAGGCCCGCTAGGCCTTGGGGGAGCTAGGACTTCAGCGTGTCAAGTGGTGGTTTGTAACAGCAATACCCGTGAGGGCGAAGGACCTTGGGATAGGAACGAGAATGAAAAGGCCCCCCCAAACAGGATGGACATCGTGACCTCCTTCTCCTCAAATACTCAAATAGACAAAACCTCGGATTTCCAGAAACCAAAATACTTGTTTGTTGATTCTATCCTCGATTTTCATCGACTTTCTTCATTCTATCATTACAGCACATCATGTTGCATCAGATCTCTTTCATGATTATCACTATTAATGTTGATAGATCTCTATCTTACAGTATATCATTAACGTCAGATATATATTCAAGTTTTCGTGATTTTCATCGCCCGACGTTTGTTGCCTTGAAGAGGCACTCCCCCATTAGTTGGTCTGGCTCCCCCAGGTATTGTCTCCGAAAGGTGGGGTGGCCGTAGATATTGAGCAACAGTGGGGCTTTGAGCTTGCTTTTCGATAAATGCACATATATATACATATCTATATACATAATACAATATATCTATATATTAGATATATAATATCTATACATTAGATACACATCATATTTTCTACATTGATATAGATATATCAATATAAAGTGAGTGGGGTATAAACAGGTAAAGGAACCATGATGGGGAGCCCAGACCTGTACTGAGGGTGGCACATGTTTACCCACGAATCCCACATATGTTGTCGACGTGAGGCTAGCGTGATGCATAACTTGGAGGACCTCATTGGGGGGCACATCATGGGAGCGGGGCCTTTTCTCGTCGCTTGGAGAAAAGACCAAACCTTTTTGTTGGTTGCTTACCATTTATTTTTTTTGGAGATTTTAAACTATTCTCTGTCTCTCTACATATATATATACATATATATATATATCAATACATATGTGTGTGCATATATGTGGACTTGGAAAGAGATGGCTGGAACGAGGCCAGGGATTTGGGACCAATGATCTTGCATATCATTTGAGCAAGGGATATTCCGTGGCCAAGAAGTGCCACGCAGCCAAATTTCGTATGCGTTAGCGATTCATACAGTGCTTGAACAATCAGTGTACGTAAAAAACCTGATCACAACTGTATTGTACCAGTTGCAGCCCCCGAAAAGTAACTGGCCATTTTGGTGCGTACCAATCCAGGCAATTTCAAAGGTCAAAAAAAATTGAGCCAGAAGCATATGGATGTTCGAGAGGATGTGACGACAACCTCCGATTTTTTTTGAGCCTGGCATCAGCTGTCAAGTAGGAATAGATGCTTCAAAAGCAGTACATTTTTTGGGCCAACTATTTTCATTCTCAAACGGAGTGTTTTCATGTCTTCTCGTTGAACTTAGGGCATTCTCAATTGACCATCGGAGTTTGCTGGAAGTGTAACTGTTGAAAGCATTGCCATGCTGGAACACTTACCATGTGAAGCTCAGGTGGACAAAACCCCTCGAAATACCGCAGAGGTGAGCAATCCCCATCTCCATTTTGAAAAAGGCCAGTCGCACACCCTGACTGGTTAACGGAACTCGCGGTTTCAGCTATGTTTCATCTTCAAGCTTGGGGGAAAAAATCCCCAGTGACGAGCATATCTTTGTGTGGAAGTTGTTGTGCCAACGCCAGCGGCCATGGCGACGATGCGCTACGGAATGCGACGGCCACGTCCATGCGAAGGGCAAAAGGCTCGGTGGAGCAGGCGTGAGCTGATTTCCTATGGGGAGATGGGATCCTCAGTGCGTCATTGTATAGTTACTTAGTTGTGATTTGGACGATTCTTCACTGTCAAGCAAGGAATTGGTGGCAAATTGGTTGTGATTTTTTCGATCTAACCTCAGAAATATGTTCCAAAGCTCGAAAGGCCCTGGCTCGCACGTTGCCAGGCTCTACTTTCCTTGCAGAAACGGTCAAGTGGAGCAGCATATAGTGGCTGGGTCAAAATCAGTGGCCATTCCACTTGTGGATAGCTTCAGCCCTCATGTGGTAAAAGTAGATATGGAAAACCCATGGTTTCCCTTTAAAAAAAAGATCAACAAGTCTAGTAGGTTTTCCACATGTAAACGTTTACTGGAGGGTAAAAGAACTCAGGCTATTGTGTAGTACAATATATATATATATACCCTCGGGTTATTTAACATAGCCATGGAAAATCCCTTATAAATGGAAGAAGTTTCAATGGGAAAATCATCTATAAATGGGCCATTTTCCGGGCTATGTTAAATAACCAGAGGGTATATATATATTATATTATATATATATAACTCCAACTGCTGAAAGTTGCTACTGAATCTTCATGACCGGAAGATCTCCGGCGCCCAGAGGGTGCTTATGGTTTCCGGTGGCCCACGACCTTTATTTGTGACTTGGGCTTTGAGATGGGTCAATCTTTTGGAGACACTGCACTGTATCCGTTTCAATCAGACATTTACCCGACCCAAATTGGATGGTCCATTTGACCCCTTTCTGAAAGGCTCCATGTATTCATATACAAACAAAATCGCCCTGCCAGTTTTGTAAGTTGATTTATCAATCCGTCCAATCTAATGGATGTATCGTCCAATAGCCAAATCGAATGGTAAGTCTTAACCAACGGTTGGTTAAATCACCATCCCGTTTTGATTTTACACCAACTGCCACGAAAGATCTCAATTTTTCAGATCTCCATGATAGTTGGCCCAGGCATTGCCATCAGCGTCCTCCAGAAGAATAGCCAGTGGCAAAAGGCCTTGGACCTGTTCCAAGACTATCAGGCTGCAGGCAGGGGAAGTTGGTGAGTGGGGCGAATTCCTGTTGTCCCATTTCCAACTCGGCTATCATGAATCCTTGACATGTTCCAGTGGAGCATTTCCAATTTCACCACCAAAAACGTGGAGTTGTTGGCTTCAAAAATCCTTTCATACATTCTTTCTTGTGTCAAGCATGCTTAAGTTCGGTGTGAACCCGGATTCACAAACCTATATATCTATATATACATAACAATATGAACACCCCAAAAAAATCATTGGGTGTGAATCCTTCCAAAAGTTCACATCTCATTTTTCGCTGTCATCCTCCAAGGGTCCTACGATGTCCAACGGTTCAGGCGTCCGAAGCTCTTCTCCAAAGGTCCACAATGCGGCTCTGGGGGCGGCCTGTGCAGGCGCCGCATTGGATGCCGTAGCCGCGTCTGGGATCAGGTGAGGTTACCAGTATGGGTATTTATGTGGATTTATACCAATTTAATTATACATATATAGATTCATAATAGTTAATGTATTATGTGTGTAAATAGTTAATTTATACATGTATATATATATATATGACAATTTATACATGTATCTGCACAAATTATAGCGAGGACAGCCGAGGCAACGAGGCAGGTTGCAGGAATTAGCGAGGTCAGCCCTTAATTTGCTCATCAGAATTAGCCGACCTCGACGAGGTAGCCTTGCATTGGTTCTGTTGCATGCTTGGGCTTGGCTAGAAAAACTTTTTTGGGGGCCAGAGGCCGGTCAGCAGGCAAGGAAGGAAAAAAACTTTTCAGGCCCCAAAAAGTTTTATTTTCTATCGCCAGAGGCCGGTCAGCAGGCAAGGAAGGAAAAAGAACTTTTCAGGCCCCAAAAAATTTTATTTTCTATCGCCAGAGGCCGGTCAGCAGGCAAGGAAGGAAAAAAAAACTTTTCAGGCCCCAAACAGTTTTATTTTCTATCGCCAGAGGCCGGTCAGCAGGCAAGGAAGGGAAAAAAACTTTTCAGGCCCCAAAAAGTTTTATTTTCTATCGCCAGAGGCCGGTCAGCAGGCAAGGAAGGAAAAATAACTTTTCAGGCCCTAAAATATTTTATTTTCTATCTCCAGAGGCCGGTCAGCAGGCAAGGAAGGAAAAAAACTTTTCGGGCCCCCAAAAAAAATATTTTCTATCGCCAGAGGCCGGTCAGCAGGCAAGGAAGGAAAAAAAAACTTTTCAGGCCCCAAAAAGTTTTATTTCCTATCGCCAGAGGCCGGTCAGCAGGCAAGGAAGGAAAAAAAACTTTTCAGGCCCCAAAAAGTTTTATTTTCTATCCAGGCAGGAGAAAAAAAAACTTTTCAGGCCCGGTAAGTTTTATTTTCTATCGCCAGAGTCAGCAGGCAGGAAGGAAAAAAAACTTTTCAGGCCCCAAAAAGTTTTATTTTCTATCGCCAGAGGCCGGTCAGCAGGCAAGGAAGGAAAAAAAACTTTTCAGGCCCCAAAAAGTTTTATTTTCTATCGCCAGAGGCCAGTCAGCAGGCAAGGAAGGAAAAAAACTTTTCAGGCCCCAAAAAGTTTTATTTTCTATCGCCAGAGGCCGGTCAGCACGCAAGGAAGGAAAAAAAACTTTTCAGGCCCCAAAAAGTTTTATTTTCTATCGCCAGAGGCCGGTCAGCAGGCAAGGAAGGAAAAAAAACTTTTCAGGCCCCAAAAAGTTTTATTTTCTATCGCCAGAGGCCGGTCAGCAGGCAAGGAAGGAAAAAACACTTTTCAGGCCCCAAAAAGTTTTATTTTCTATCGCCAGCGCTTCGTGGGTTGACGGCTGCAGAAGCAGTAGGATTCAGAGTTGCTCCAGAAGAGCATTGCATCTCTGCGATAATGTCAGAGATGTCACCACCCAAGCGCAAGAAGCGCACAGACCGATCAGACTCAGACTTAAAAATCCTTGCAAGAGACCGTGGATCGTGGAAAAAAACTTTTCGGAAGCTGAAAAGTTTTTTTCCTTGGGGTTGGACCCTGGAAAGAAGGCCCACAAGCTACTTTCTTCCTTCGAATTAACGAGGTAAAGCCTTAATTTGCACCTGCAAATTAACGAACGAGGACAGTAATCATGGGGAACAAATGAAGACACGAGGGAGACGAGGTAAGAATTAAAGTAATTTGGCCAGATGTATGATGTGAGTAAATAGATAGTTAATATATATATATATACATACATACATAAATTAATATGTACATCCTTCCAAAAGAAAGACTTTTTCAGGAGGGGACCAACAGACCACCAATGATGCACGATATCCATTTGCTGGCTTCATAGAGGTTAGCTTCAGCTTTTTGTTGCTTGTCATTCGATGCACAATAGTAAGCATCTGCATTATCTACCTGCATTCCCGATATTATCGGATGACCACTGGCAGGACTATGGCCGAACACGGTAGGATAGACAGATGGAGTCTATTATCCCAATTTCAGCAGGAATGGGCTATACAATATTATATAAGTAATCTCTCAAAACTTCGAGCTTTATAACTGGGTTTACCACATTAGGATGCAGACGGAAGAAATGTGGAGTCGTGGAGAAATCGAAAGACCCCACGGTGATGAAACATCACAGGAAACATCCAAGAGAAAGCAACAGAATGTTTACAGGGTTTGGTTTAGCCCTATACATTTGAAGGGCCAAGAAAACATCCCAACAAAATCGATCCATTGAGGGGCCTCGGCACCATTTTGGTGCTATCAGAAGCCATTGGCTCAAGAGTAGCTTGCGCATGACAGAGATAGAGTTGGTGAAGAAGCGCCACATGAGATCAGAGAATTTCGATGAGATCGGGAGATCGTTCACTTTGAGCAAACTTGCAGACCTAGAACTTCGAGAACCCCCTGAAAACATGCATTTTCTTGTTTGCATAGCTGGGAAGCCTTTTCTATACTTCAACTTGAGACAGATCACTCTACCATCGCCTCCCTCTAGGAGTGACAACACCATTGATATTCATGTGCCGTCCTACTCGACACCAAAGTCAGCAACACCACGTAGGAAAAGCATTGAGAAGCAACGAAAAAGTTGGAACCTCCGATTACAGCAGTTAGTTAGAGACTCCGAATACACCAGGTAAATCATGTACATGTAGACCATGTAGGCCCTGGTGAAACTTTGGGGCTTGGATTGGTTGGAGATTCCAAAACTTCCAAAACAACTTAAGTTGAAGTCGTACGCTTCTGCCAAGACCTGGTCGTTTTTGGGCCATGGAGAATGGCCAATGCCAGGAGACGATTGCGAGTTGCTGGAATGGTTGAAAGTCAACCCCACTAATCTTAGTAAAGCACTAATCAACCACCCATATTTTGATAACTTATACCACCCATTTATGGTAAATTTGGGTATGGTATACTATTGCTTTTCCAACCTGATTAAGGATTGACAGACCCAAGACAACACTCCCAACCACCGAGTGACAATCGTCTCAAATGCAGTGTGTTTGACCATCCCATATCTTTTCTTGAGTCCTCCTTGTTCAAATGGAACCATTGCCAAACAGTTTAGGCACATTTTCCAACCATATATATATATATATAAGCTATATATATATACCCAGCCTTACCACCTCAACTTTTTCGGACCTTTGTTGCCCAGGGTTTGCCCGGTGTCTCCCGCAGTGATTTTGCCGTAACATTCCTGGACGAAAAAACAGGAGACTCGACGCTTCGAACCGTTTAACGCGACACACATGAAGAGTTCAAAGCTTACCCTCTGGTAATGACAAACAGTTTGCTATTGAACATGGCCATAGAAATAGTGGATTTACCCATTGAAAATGGTGATTTTCCATAGTTATGTTAGTTTACCAGAGGGTACCTTGATGAGTTCTTGAAAGATGAGAAGGAGAATCGGCAAGCATTCAAGAATCTCATGACCAAGAAGCGCCAGATGTGCGGATTGGTTGAAGAACCTGTCCCACATTTCCCTTTCTTTTGGAATGCCCTTGGCTTCCGCTAATGGTCTTTTCATCCCTTTTCGTCCAGCTTTTGCAGGGCCAGATTACAATTGTGCGACACATGGGTATGGGTCAAAATTCGGTCCACCAGAAATAGCATAGTCTATTTCAAAAAAAAGCCAAAATCTGTGGTCCCACGGACCTTAGTTTTGATCCATTCCCATAAATTTGTTCCACATTCTCTGTGCTGCACTTTTTCCACAGCCGTGGCACACCTGTTTTATGGCAAATCCACTGCTCGAGCATGGATTTGCGGCTTCTCTTTTCAACGAACCTGGTTTTCCTTTTATCACCAGTGACGTAGCACTATCAGCTTGGCATTGAAAATGGGTTTCTTTCCTGCAGGCTTTGGCCTTTGGTGTTTCGTTTCTCTAAAGATTTTTCAAACTGGGACGTGTCATCTTCAAAATGGGGACACAATATATGTGTATGATTGTGTATGGATCAATGCTAAATCATCAAAAATCTCTAGATCCGGTTGCTATTCAGATCCCAACATGACCATTCTGGCAACATCCGAGAGAGATTCATTTCCCTGGAACCAAAATTGGGTCCTCCTCAACCCGAGATGGTTGGGCATTCCCTGCGGCACGTTTTTTGGGTCTCATCAAGTACACCAACTGTCTTTGGCTTCATTTTTTGCCAGGTTAATGTCCTCATTGTTGTCGATTCTTCCCCGCAATTGATCATGATATAGCCTATCATTTGATTCTCGACATTTTTTCTTCGTGAAGTCCCCATGCAGTTTGTTTTACTTTTTTTGGCCAGGGAAATCATATAGAAAGAAACAATTTCTTAACAATGAGTCAAATTACGAGTAGCTTCCCAAGTTTCTGGATTTTGTAGGTGATATCCCCAGAGAATCCTCAGATTTTTCAATCTTGTTGGTTGATTACTTTGATGTGTATCCCACAAAAACTGTAGTTGGTAGGTAAGAGCAACATTTTAACCTACTCATAAAGCGGATATACCACAGTAATGTATGGCTTGGCAACCACTTACGATTCTTCGGATGCAGCCCATTTTGTCGACAACTCCATCTGGCTACAGATATGTCCACCATAAATCCAACAGTTTCCGTACTTATGTAACAACTTTCCAAATATAAATCAACATATATATATATATATACAGTAAATCAACTATAAATCCCAATGTTTCATGGTACACTCCCCATTTTTTCACCATTTCTGATGCTTAAATGCCAATTGTCCACCATTTTTTATGGTCACCTGCCCGTTTTCCCATTTTTTTTGGGCAGCTGCACAGCACTCGCTGCTGCAATTCGCCAGGACTTGGATGCCTTGGCGTCGTCAGAGCTGCTGCTGATCATACTGCCCGGCCGAAGTGGTGCACCGCTGGCAGCAACCGGTGGCAGTTGGAATATCAATGGGATTTCACAGGATTTAATCTTGAATCGGATCTCTATATATATAATATATAGTATAAAACATATAATATAGAATATATAATACATATATATACATATATATACATATAAATATATATAATATAATATAATATAATATAATATAATTATAATATAATTATAATATAATATAATATAATATACATATAATATACATATAATAATGGGAATATCAATGCTCCATTGATCCATTGATGGGATTTAATACTGGAATAGCCACACTCCATTTAATCGGATCTAAGGGGATTTTTCATGGAATATTGATGGGATGACGCATGGATGAACGGAATATGACATATCAATGGGATGTTAATGGGATGATTATGGGATTTAGTGCAGTTATCGGGGGAACTCCCAGAAAAATCCACTCGAAAAGCGTTTTTATCTTTTCGCCACGTGTTGCGAGGTCGTGAGGCGGTCTTGCGCCGCATCATTCACGAAGTGGGTCCAGTGGCAGTGCTGGTGCCAGAGAGGCGGTGCGAAATTTTATGGGCAACTGGGATGTTAACCTCTGGGACTTTTCTATTTTTTTTTACTGCAGTAATAGATTGATAAATAACATTTGCCAACCTTTCTTTATCAGATAATTTGTAAGATAATTATCTGATCAAAATGCACTTGTAAATTTAGACCATCTTTCAGTTTCCTAGAGATGGCCAATGAAGACAAATGTTGAATTGCCAAAGGGTAGGATTTGAGTTCGGTGAAGGCGATTGATCTGTCATTCTTATCTTTTTCATTGCTATCTACACATGTGGTTTGTTTGCTCGGGGGCATGTAGTTCATACAAATACAAAGATGTTTCAGCTATATCTCTACACCAAAAAGATGGGTTTGGAGACCACATCTTCCACTCCAAACTTATATACCCTCAAGTAAATTGATACAGATATCACAAACCCACCGTGAAAAAGTCGATCACTCTTGTACCTGAATATTTCTAATTTTCCATATCATTTTGTTGATTTACCAGAGGGCAAGCCCCAATTTTGTTGGACAAGACACCACTTTGGTAGACTAAACCCCCAAGTTTGATACTTACCACCATTTTCAAATGACTATCACCATTGTTGTCGGCAAAATAATGATCTTGTGGCTTGAATCTCCATTTTTTCCTGGTAAAATCCCAAGTTCTCATTCTTAAACCTCCATTTTTCATAGGAAACTTGGGATTTTACCAGCAAACATGGAGATTCGAGTGGTAAATCTTTGGTGAAACCTCCATTTTCATAGGAAAATCATGGAAAATCCTCCATTTTGCTTGATGAAAACACGGCCCGTGATTCTCGGTGGAGGTTCCTGGAGGCCTCAGCCTGGGCCAAGCCCTTGGTCACGGCCTGGATCGACTCCAAAGGCAGCATATTTTCGTGTGCGATCTTGGGAATACCATGGGGGTATATATATATACGTGTATATATATTACACGTATATATATATATAGAATTTAGATCAAGCACCATTATACACATATATATATGATTATATATATATATATATCTATATGTATATAGTGGAATGTAATGGACATGAAAATGCAATATAAATATGGAAACCATAATGGGGATATAGTGGAATATATGGTGGAATATTGCCATAGTGTAATGGTATATCAATGGGAAATAATGGATAGAAAACCAACTCATGTTGAAAAGGGATAGAATGAGAATACAACGGAAATATCATGGGATATTACCACCATGAAAAACAACTTGGGGGTGCAGGCCAGGGTTGAAAGAAGGAGGTAACCATAGGATTCTCATCCCCATAAGTTGGGATATAGGGCCCCTATAGCTGTGATGATATATCCACTTAGGGCCAGAAAGAAATTATCATGGTGATATAGATTTTTGTTTTGCCAACAAAACTTAGTTGTTGGGATCAGACATTTTCAGACACCTAGTTTTACTGCGGGTTTCAGAGAACTTCTTTCCGGTAAGCCAATTCTCAGGGTCAGACATTTCTTTGGGGGGAAGAATGCATGTCATATCGATTTTCCGATACTCATTTAGACACACCCTAAGAAACTAGACATGTTCAGACATATTTATTTCTGGGTTTGTCCAAAATTGGGGGATACATCATTTTTTCCAGCCACTACAGCCTGTTCTCAGGTTATACTTATATGGCGGTTTGGGTTGGTGGTTTGGAAGTCTGGGAAATCACAGTTATGTGCAAAATAGATTTGAAAAATGTTTTTTTTTTGTGTTTTGTATTTGTTTTATTTTTTGTTTAATCTAATCTAATCTAATCCTAATCCTAATCCAATCTAATCCTAATCTAATCTAATCCTAATCTAATCTAATCCTAATCTAATCTAATCTAATCTAATCCTAATCTAATCTAATCTAATCCTAATCCTAATCTAATCTAATCTAATCCTAATCTAATCTAATCTAATCTAATCTAATCCTAATCTAATCTAATCCTAATCCCTAATCCTAATCCCTAATCCTAATCCCTAATCCCTAATCCTAATCCCTAATCCTAATCCCTAATCCCTAATCCTAATCCCTAATCCTAATCCCTAATCCTAATCCCTAATCCTAATCCCTAATCCTAATCCCTAATCCTAATCCTAATCCCTAATCCTAATCCCTAATCCTAATCCCTAATCCCTAATCCTAATCCCTAATCCCTAATCCCTAATCCTAATCCCTAATCCTAATCCCTAATCCTAATCCCTAATTCTAAATCCTAATTCTAAATCCTAATTCTAAATCCTAATTCTAAATCCTAATTCTAAATCCTAATTCTAAATCCTAATTCTAAATCCTAATTCTAAATCCTAATTCTGAATCCTAATTCTAAATCCTAATTCTAAATCCTAATTCTAAATCCTAATTCTAAATCCTAATTCTAAATCCTAATTCTAAATCCTAATTCTAAATCCTAATGCTAAATCCTAATGCTAAATCCTAATGCTAAATCCTAATGCTAAATCCTAATTCTAAATCCTAATGCTAAATCCTAATGCTAAATCCTAATGCCAAATCCTAATGCTAAATCCTAATGCTAAATCCTAATGCTAAATCCTAATGCTAAATCCTAGTTCTAAATCCTAGTTCTAAATCCTAGTTCTAAATCCTAGTTCTAAATCTTAATTCTAAATCCTAATTCTAAATCCTAATTCTAAATCCTAATTTTAAATCCTCATTCTAAATCCTAATTCTAAATCCTAATTCTAAATCCTAATTCTAAATCCTAATTCTAAATCCTAATTTTAAATCCTCATTCTAAATCCTAATTCTAAATCCTAATTCTAAATCCTAATTCTAAATCCTAATTCTAAATCCTAATTCTAAATCCTAATTCTAAGTCCTAATGCTAAATCCTAATGCTAAATCCTAATGCTAAATCCTAATGCTAAATCCTAATTCTAAATCCTAATGCTAAATCCTAATGCTAAATCCTAATGCTAAATCCTAATGCTAAATCCTAATGCTAAATCCTAATGCTAAATCCTAATGCTAAATCCTAATGCTAAATCCTAGTTCTAAATCCTAGTTCTAAATCCTAGTTCTAAACCCTAATTCTAAATCCTAATTCTAAATCCTAATTCTAAATCCTAATTCTAAATCCTAATTCTAAATCCTAATTCTAAATCCTAATTCTAAATCCTAATTCTAATTCCTAATTCTAAATCCTAATTCTAAATCCCTAATTCTAAATCCTAATTCTAAATCCTAATTCTAAATCCTAATTCTAAATCCTAATTCTAAATACTAAATCTAAAAATCCTATCCTAATCCAATGCTAACTCCTAGGTTCTAAATCCTAGTTCTAATCCTAGTTCTCTCTTTCTCCTCCTCCTCTCTTCTCTCTGCTCTATTCTCTCCTTTCTCTACTGTCTTTCTGCTCGGGCTCTGACCGTCCTCGCTAGACCGCTGCTCTTCTACTAAACAACTGACGGTAACTAGTGGGGGCCCATGGACTAAAAATATTCCTAATTTTAAATCCTCATTCTAAATCCTAATTCTAAATCCTAATTCTAAATCCTAATTCTAAATCCTAATTCTAAATCCTAATTTTAAATCCTCATTCTAAATCCTAATTCTAAATCCTAATTCTAAATCCTAATTCTAAATCCTAATTCTAAATCCTAATTCTAAATCCTAATTCTAAGTCCTAATGCTAAATCCTAATGCTAAATCCTAATGCTAAATCCTAATGCTAAATCCTAATTCTAAATCCTAATGCTAAATCCTAATGCTAAATCCTAATGCTAAATCCTAATGCTAAATCCTAATGCTAAATCCTAATGCTAAATCCTAATGCTAAATCCTAATGCTAAATCCTAGTTCTAAATCCTAGTTCTAAATCCTAGTTCTAAACCCTAATTCTAAATCCTAATTCTAAATCCTAATTCTAAATCCTAATTCTAAATCCTAATTCTAAATCCTAATTCTAAATCCTAATTCTAAATCCTAATTCTAATTCCTAATTCTAAATCCTAATTCTAAATCCCTAATTCTAAATCCTAATTCTAAATCCTAATTCTAAATCCTAATTCTAAATCCTAATTCTAAATACTAAATCTAAATCCTAATTCTAAATCCTAATTAAAAAATCCTAAATCTAAATCTAAATCTAATCTAATCTAATCTAATCTAATCTATCTTTCTAAGTATCTGTCTATTTGTTTGTTTGTCTGTCTGTCTGTCTATCTATTTACTTATCTAATATATCATATCCAATATATCTATTTGTTTGTCTGTCTATATATCTATCTATCTATCAATCTATCTATCAATCTATCAATCTATCAATCTATCAACCAATCTCATATATCTACATAATCTATCTATTTATTTGTTTGTCTATTTGTCTATCAAACTAGTCTAATCTTCTCTGATCTTATCTAATCTAATCTAAGCTAATCTAATCCAACCTCTCTAATCTTTCAAGTTTTCTATTAATCTATCTAATCTATCTAATCCACCTAGTCTACCTTTTCTATCTGATCTATCTAATATGCCTACTCTATCCAAGTGACCTTACCTATCTATTCTATCTAA